GAGCAGACAGGGCCCCACCAGCGCTGCAGACAGGGACAGGAGAGGTGCTGCTGGGTACACGGATGCCCCGAAGTGTGGGGACCCTCCCAGCCCACCAGCACTGCAGCTACGTGTGTGAGAGGTGGTGCATGGGCTGGTGGCCCCAACACAGGGGCTGCCCCCAGACCCTTTCCCACCAGAGACAATCTGTGCTGGAGGTTCAGGTGACTCTCAGGCTCCAGAACTGCCCTGGAACCCACAGAAAGGAGGGGTCTCAAATAAAGCAGCTGATGGGCCTGCTGGGCTCCGAGGCAGGGCCCACTCTTGCCTGACCTGTGACTCCACAGCTCAGCACCATGGGGATAAGGGTCACTGACCCAGTGCGGTGACCTATTTTGGCTCCTAGTTTATCACCCTTCCGCTGCCCAGCTTCTGGCTGTTTGCTGCTCATGAACCCTTCCCAAGGGCACCGCCCCCGCAGGTAAGTCAGAAAGAGCACTCAGAGCCACCTGCCCGCTGCTGCTGGACTCTGCTGAGACAGGCCGCACGGGCGAGGGCTCACCTACAGATGCCAGCAGTGGGGCTGTCCCGGCCCCACCGCCCAGAGCTCCTTTTGAATCCCCTCCACATCCCCTTCTCCCTGGCAGTGAAGGAACCAGGGCCCCGCAGAGCAGATGCGCCACCCTGTCATGCAGCCATGCCCTGGTGCCGGGCCTTGCCATCCAGTGCCAGGAAGCTGAGGACAGTCCCGGGTCCCATCCCAGAAATTCCATATGTCCGGGGGAGAGTCTAGGAAGCCCTGATTTTAAGAAAATCTCCCGAGGTGATTCTGATGTGTGCTAGGTTTGGAAGGCGGTCACCTGCTCTCCCTCCTGCCCAGATGTCAGCACGACCAGGACTGAGAGTCCCTCGAGATCCCTTCCATGCCTGCCCTGGGCAAGTTCACCTGCCAGGAAGCCCCAGGAGCAGGTGCTGAGCCAACCCTGAGACAATAAAGTCAAGACAAAAAGAAGAGGCTTCTCTCGCTCATGGTTTTGCAGGGAGACTGTTTTTCCTGTTAGGAAGGGGTGGCCGGCGCAGGCATGCAGCGGGTGTACCTTGAACCGTGCCAGGTGTGGGCTGGGGCCCGTGGGCCTCCCGTGCCCATTGCTGGGTGAGCTCTCCTGCGAGGTGGCATCTCTCAGCTCCACGCCGGCCGCTGTGTCCCACAGGAATCCCGAGTACCCGGCTCCCTGCAGCAGACAGGGAGACAGTCTTGATGCC